CACCCCCATATCTTAATCTTTCTCTTTTCTTCCGTCTGCTCCTATACCTCGTCTTTCTCTTTCTCCTACCGATTTTCAGATGCAGTATCACTTATAATCTACCCTCATCTTTCGCTCAGGTAATTGGTGTCATTGGTGACATCACAGATGCTAAAGTGAGGGAGAAACTAGTGTCCGAAACACTAGACGCCTTCAGCCAGATCGATATACTGGTGAGTTGGACTTTGTCTATGTGTTTGGGATGTCTTTATGTAAATGAAAGTGTTGGAAACGGTTAGACATGAGGTGGGTTTTTTTCTTGCCCTTAAGAAGGTGGTTCACAGACACAGACATCACGGTGTTTCTTTTGAGTTTGAGTCAAGAGAAGCACATCGACGTAGAGGTCTTTTTAAAAACTACAAATGACAACGGTATTGCCAGTCCCCGAACCTGAGTTTCTTTAATTTTGATTGTTTAGGGATAATTTTAAAACCATCCCCCCCCTCCTTTTTTCACGTGGGCTCGGTCCTATCTGAGTTGCTTACAGTATTAAATACCGTGTTCGACCTTCCCAAAAACCATTCACCAGACTCCAAACTGAATGTTCTTAGATCTTCAGTCTTGTATAAATTATAAATAGTCGGATACATTTGTGTCTCCCAAAAGCCAATGTGCAGAATAAGTCAATGCCTTGGTCCATATTACTTCAAACAGGGCCAACTACAGACAACAATAAAAGGGAAACCATGGAATGCCAACAGCACACCAGACACATGGTTTAGATTGTTTCGGAAACAGCATCCCGAGATCGTGGTTAGAAAAAAACTTAACTGCTTGGGAAGCAAAGAGCTGTTGCTTCACGTGGTGATAATTAAGACTTGGTTTCAACTATTTCATGAGACAAGTATTATAACTATCGACCCTTTCATTTTGTTAGATCCGGATCTCATTTACGATTTCGACGAACAAGGATTCAGCCTGAACTGCCGGCCAAAATAAATAGGCCTAGCCGTGAGTTCAGGGAAATGATAATACAGAAGGAGTTAGACCGAAAGACCTGTTGTTTTTATCAAAGCATTTGCCTCCTTTATATGATCGAATATTGTATCTACTTGTTCCTTGTTTCTGAACAAAACGCCTTTGTATCTTCCTAAAGGTAAACAACGCAGGCGCCAAAGGCGTTCATGCCCCGCTGCTCCAGGTGACTCAAAAGAACCTCTACTCGGACTTGGACCTTCTTCTCAACGCACCACTTCACCTTTCACAGCTGTGTCACCCCCACTTGGCAAAAACAAAAGGTCAATAAAGTCACGTGATTGTGAACACGCATTTCTCATCTATCTATCTATCTATCTATCTATCTATCTATCTATCTATCTATCTATCTATCTATCTATCTATCTATCTATCTATCTATCTATCTATC